TTTTTTTTTTTCCTTCTTTGGCAACTGAGTCTCCAAAATGGTGTTGTCGACTATACTGCCAGTGTCGAGTGGTGACGGCAAAATTATTGGACCGTCGAACTTAACTTTGCGGTAGTTTTTAGTTGTTAGTAGCTGAAAGCTTAAGTCTGGGCATCAAGTCTGCTATTACGACACTGTCAGAATGATCCGTCATTGATTTCAAAATTGTTGATTTTGACAAGTTCAGTAATCTACTAATGTAATAGCGTCATTATGACTTTCCAATGGTCAACCACTGACACACCATTGAAAGTAATCACATAAAATGCACATAACACTGATAGATATTTTGTAAAATAGAATATAAATAACATCTGGCATGAATAAATGTTCTTTAGTAGTAGTATTTCGAAAACTATTTCTACTACAAAGTTTTATAATAATAGCAGTACGGCAATTTCATTTTATTACATTTCTATAACGAGATCATTGACCGATGAATGATCAACTATTACGAGTTTAATAGATCAAGAACTTTTAGCTAAATGACAATACGATCGTGTTGGAATGACAACAATTATAATTAAAAAACCAACCTCAAAAAACAAAAAAGTAAAAAAAGCAAAAAATAACTATATTAGTACTGATAGGTTACCCACCCACTGATAGGTTAGAAGTCGGCGTCATAAGTTCTATACAAAATTATTCACTAAAACCTTAATAAATACCTCATTTACAATTTTGTGTCCATTAAGTTACATCATTATAAGTATCGATAGTAATTAAATTAAAATGCTGATTGGAAAAGAGTAACCTATGGAGTTTCTTGCTCATTCTTCTCCATAGGAATCAACACCTTGGAATGAGCAAATAGCTTCACTTTTGAATTTCCATTGCTGACGTTCAAAAGTGCCTTCCTGGTGTAATTGAAATAAATGATTTTTGACTTTTAAAGTGAAGTAGGTAAATATAGCAGACTTGAGGCACCGGTAACGTGGTAACCCATTACACACGCACACATAAATACACCACTGACATTTCGGTGCTTCAATCATTTGTAAGTGACATTATGTCCGCCTTTTTTTAAACTTCCTTGATGTATAAATTAGTTATGTCTTAGCGTCGATTCTCCAGTAAGGCAAAAGGTATTATAGACTATTGATTATTAACTCCTTTGAATTAATTAGATTTGTAATATACCGTTGAACTGCAAAACAATTTTGTGTGGGAGAGCCATGCTTTGACATGAATGGGCCGTCTTGACCGGTGTGATACCACGGCTGAGTAGAAAACCGACGTGAAACAATACTTGCGTCGTGTTAATGAGGTTATTGGAGGCCCAATTACCTCCCTCCCCAACCTCGTCAATTCACAAATCCCAAATAATCCTCAAATTCCAAATCTCCAAATAGCCGGTAACGCCTCTAGTGTTTTGGGTGTCCATGGGCCGCGCGGATTGCTTACCATCAAGTGATCCGTCTGCTCGTTTACCGGTTTATTCAATTAAAAAAATACTGTACGAATACTATTTTCCTATGCCTAGCCAATCTGAGAGAATATTACGTGTGTATATTATGCATATAATATAGTGAACGTTATATTGTGTCTGTATATTGTATATGCTGTCTTTTGTTATTTATGTATATTTATTGTATTGTCTGGAGTTGATACAGGTATACAAATATCTGTGTTTATCGACTGCCTCGTTGGCCGACTGGTCGCAAATGCAACTGCCGGGCAAGAAGTCTCCGGTTCGATTCCTGAGTCGGGCAAAGTACTACTCGGTCTTTTTAGAGAAAAACTCAGGAGTAGCATGACGTCTGGAATTGTGCCCGGTATATGGCAATAGCATAGTATAAAGAACAAAGTAGGTTATCTTCATACAAATGCTCCGCGCGCGGCTTATATGTGTGCGCCGTAGTATCTATGCGTCGACGCACGCACACTTTAACAAAATCTCGACCCGTTTCTCAGTGCGCCAGGCAGGGCTAACACTGCACGAGGTTCGCGCGCGCATCACTTTTCGGCACTGTTAAATGAAATAAAAAATGTCTGATAACCGTAGAAGAACGTATTACTGTGTGTTTGGGTGTCTTAATAATTAATCGATTCCAGAACTGTCTCTGTTCAGATTACCTATTAAACAGGAAAAGTAAGCTAGTCACTTTTTCTAGCATAATATAATTTGTAGGTACTTGATGATGAGATACCTACTTACTTATTCTTACTCTTATCATTCTTCATAGTTCCTACTTAACCAGAAATGTAATTACCTACTATACTTAAATATTATAAGAAAATGTGGTATTGTATTGTTTATTTCACAGTTTATCTGATTAGTTAATAGCGTGGCCGTGTCGCATTTTTCCATATAAATGTATTCCCAAATTTACTTTCTGAATACTATGTATAGAACTAAAGTTTATTTTAAGAAGTTAATAATCTTTTTATAAGCTTTTTATTTTTACTAAATTTATAAATTGATAAAATATTCAATCATAATATGCTTTTCATTTCATAAATTTAGATCAAGTGCTGCTTGTTCGAAAATATTAACTAAAAGTAAAAGTGACAACCCTGGGGATCAACGCAAGAGTAGGCTAATAACTCGGCGGGCGGCCTTAGATAGCCTACTGTGTTCTTTATACTATGGCAATAGCCCCTATTACATGGGACTCATAGCATAAATAGTGAAAAGTGGGTGTTACATTATACAGTGGCATTAAGTGCCGTAATGTACACCGCTTCGGGGATAAAATGCGTGATGTCATGTTATGTTATTTAGGTACTAGAATGTTAGATATATTTTCATTGACATTAGTGTATAAATATCATACTCGTATGTATATATAAAACATGTTTGTCTGTCTGTCCGTTGATGTGTCTGTTTCTATTTTGTTTGCATGTTCTGGTGGCAGATTGACAATTGGAACAAAATCTGGCCATGGGGAGATACCAAGTCGTATTGTAGGAAGTATAGGTATGTAGATGTTGTATAATATATTAGTGTTATATAATAATTATAGAGGTATATATTATAATAAAAGTTATAATAAAAATAATCTATACTTATAATAAATCTGAATCTGAATGGTACCTATGCACAATATGTATATTGCAAACCTTTTTTTAAATTAATTTATCTACGCTTAGAAAGCCAATTAGGCTTCACTACATAGAATAAAACAAAGTCGCTATCCGCCGTCTGTCTGTCCCTATGTATGCTTACATCTTTAAAACGGATTTTGAAGCGGTCTTTTTTTTATATAGATAAAGTGATGCATAAGGAATGTTTACATGTATAATACATGCACATTGCACCGGTGCGAAGCCGGGGCGGGTCGCTAGTTATTAATATAATAAGTAGTACAAATTTTATTAAAATAAATAGGTAATAGGTAAATAGGTAACAAAGTAAAATATCTTCTAATTTTATTTTCTATTATTTCCTAATTCAAAATGTCAAATTTCCAGAGAGTCAAACTGCCACTTGGTAGATTTTCATAGACTACGTGGAACCATGATAGATACGTATGAAAAATTGGTTGAAGTGAGTCCAATAAATATGTCTATACATCTATACAGATAAATAGAATTGGAGTGTCTGTTTGTAATATCAAAATAACTGGTTTTTACTATGTACATGCATATAAATATACATTCGATACACATACTAAAATAACATTTTTTAAATATTTTGTCCGTTTGTACTGGCTTATCTCTGGAATGGCTGGACCGATTTTGACGGGACTTTTATTGGCAGGTAGCTAATGTATTAAAGAATAATATAGTTCACTTTTGTTTTAGAAAATTGAATCATAAATAAAAGTTATGTCCTAAAATTCCTATTCTAAGCGAACGAAGTCGCAGGCAACGATAAATCAGCTCAACACAAAAAAAAGGCATGGGTATTATGAAAAAACCACATTCTTATCATTATTTCATTACTTACTCTCGAAAATTACACACATTCGCATATTTTTTGTATTTTATATAGACGTTGCCTCACACTAGGATCGTCTCCTGTGTCGTGGGTGCGTTTACAAACATACAAGTTCACATACACATTACATACAGTCGTGGAACTATTATTTTGTAAATCACATAGAGTGCTTCATGCAAGCATTTAACATCATAACACGTTGTGTAGCAACGATTACCCAAAGCATCAATCATGCAGTCTCTCATTCTTGAATGAATTGCTTTCAATTTTGCAGTGTTTTTTTTTTGATAGATGTGTTCATTACGCAAATAAATGTCTTTATCTTTATCTTTAATCATTACACATCAACAGCTTATAAATATAAATGGCCACGGGCTCGTACTAGAATGCGATGCGATGCGAATTCGCAACGCAGAAAATTACGATACGAATTGCTGCGATGCGATTTCGTGCGACAAGGCGTCTCCCAGGGTGACCATTCCTTCGACGACCGTCAACCGTACTAAACGTATTTTAAATTGAATACTAGGTCGTGATATGGATCGTGTGTGTAGTGTGTAGAAGAAGCGCGATGGTCGCGCGGTCGTGAGTTTTATACCGTCGTCCCGCGCGCTACCGCTTCTGTGCCTTTAGCCAAACGCCACTTTAGCGCTTGTCTACATGTAGAATAGAAAACCAAATTATATGGAATTGACGTACATTTTGACACATGTCAGTGTCATCCCCATACATTTAGTTTTCTACTCTCTCGGTAGAAAAGCGCTAAAGTGGCGTTTGGCTAAAGGCACTGTAATAATATAATCGATGGCCATAGTAAAGGGCCGATACTCAATCTTAATTTGTACCTAACTTTAGGAAAAATAATAAATATTGTATTGCAGACCACAATTATCTACAAAATATAATAAAATCATCCCAATCTATCCAACATTTGTATTAAACACACAATAGTTCCCAAACTACTAATTTGCCGTTTTACCAAACTGCCGTTTCTCAACGGCACATTGGTAACCGAAACGGCACTTTCGTAGAAAAAACTACAAAAACTGATACTAAAGCATATTCTTTCACAATTCAGGATAAACTTCATGAAATACGAAAAGCCGCCTGTATCTCTGGACCATCTGAAGCATTCGGAGGTTTACAAACTGGTCCACGATATGGACCAGACGCCGTTGAAGAGAGTTGAAATGAGGACGCCTGTCATCTGCGAAGCTGATTATAGAGAGGTAGGTATCTTATAATGTATTATATTATAACTTTCGTGGGACTTCATACTAAATTAATGATTATGGTTTTCGGCTTACTCCCGTAACTGTTTGACGAGGAACTCGACTAGTTTCAAGCCATGCTAGAGGCTCACTGCTACTGGCAGTACTCAATAGAAGTACAACCTTCTTTATTATATCTGTGAGTACGATAGTCACCCCGTCACAGGTCGGGAAATGCTACTCATAAATAATTATGAGCATCTAGCATGGCTTGAAAGTAGTCTAATTCCTCGTCAAATAATTACGTAAGTCAGCTGAAAAAACACAATAATTAATTTAGGTACCCTTAATGATTCTAAACTCCTGCTCCGTCATCATCATCATCAACAGCCTATAAGTGTCTACTGCTGACCAAAGGCCTCTTCTCACGCGGAGAATGTTTGAGCTTGAATCACTACGCTTGCTCAACACGGGTTGGCGATTTCAAACTTATAATGAGATGTTATAAGCCCAGGTTTCCTCACGTTGTTTTCCTTCACCGTTTGTCAGTGGTGTCTAAATAATCTTAGAAAGTACGTATAACTCGGAAGTCGCATTGATACTTGCTTTTAGTGTGTTTCGAAGCCGCACTCTCATGCATGAGAAGCGGGCGTCTTAAACCTCCGGCCCACCACGGCTTGCTACGTGCCTCTACTAAAAATGGCACAACTCTGAAAAATTTTGAAAGAACTTTATCTATTACAGCGTTGCCGTTCAATGACACCGTCAGCTGAAAAGAAACACCTGCAAATACCCCAGCAATTTCATCCTTAAGTACATCGATATAGAGTTCTAAATAAGAAACAAGTTATTGAGCTTTATCATCACATCATCTATTATACATTGTCCGCGGCCTCTCATCTTCTTTAGGGAGTCTAGGATTCGATTTCTGGTCAAAATATACTGGTTTTAATAAGTATTTAGCTCGATAATTTGTAACTTTAATATTTTAAAAAAAAATTGTCAATTTGTGAGTTGAAGAAAGCAATTCCTCAGTCAAATTTTAATTATTATTTTGAGTACAGATAATTATCCCTTGATCGTTCATTATCAAATTGCTTTTCTGCAATTTTTTCTGAATTAATAAGAACTTTTGCTAGTTGCATTACTAAAAATGTAACGTTACAAAATAATTAATCAAAATTATAACACAACTCAATAAATCATAATATTTTTGACATTTCGAATTTGACATCTGTCAAACGAATCCACATATGTAGGTATATTTTATTATCTGTGACTTTCGCATGTGTAATGGTTATCTTTATTAAAATTATTTTTATTCCTTTTTGTACTATAAAAAAAGTAAATATGTAAGATTGTTGTGTTTTTATGAAATAAATGTTTTGTCTTTATTTTTCTTTTGTTTCATTTGTCTCACTATTTTGTCACTCGTAATTTGGGGCAACGTTTTATAAAAAAAAACAAATTCAAGAATCGAACTCGAATTATGTCTAAAAAATGGTGTAAGGTTCAAAACAGCCCATTAAACTAACATAAGTACGGTTAAAGGTCAAAAGTCTACTGCCACCTTAAGACTACAATAGGTTGCGCCGCAGCGCTTATACCCACATGCACACGCATATTTTTATCCGTGTACGTACGCGTGCGTGTGTGTATGCGTACCTACGCACGCGTTTTTATGCACATTAATATGAAATTACTTACGCATAGCCGCAGTGTGAACATCACTCATGGCAGTGGACTTTTGACCATTGACTGTACATAATAACTTATATTTTTATAGCAACTTCTACACTTGGCGAAGAAACGGTGCCATTGGCGTTTTTAGCATTTTATCGAACCCTGTATAACATAACCTGACGCCTTTTATCCCCGAAAGGGTAAGCAGAGGTGTACATTACGGCACTTAATACCACTGTACAATGTAACACCCACTTTTCATTATCTATGTTATTAGTCCCATGTAATAGGGGGTGAGCCTATTGCCATATACCGGGCACAATTCCAGACTCCGTGCTACAACTGAGATTTTTTGAAAAAAAGCCCAGTAATACTTTGCCCGTCCCGGAAATCGAATCCGAGACCCCTTGCCCGGCAATCGTAATTGCGACCATTCGGCCAACAAGGCAGTAAATCATTACATAGTATAGGTAAAACGTAGTCGCTATCCCCCGTCTGTCTGTCCCTATGTAGGCTTAGATCTTTAAAACTACGCAACGGATTTTGATGAGGTTTTTTTAAATAGATAGTGATTCAAGGAAGGTTTATATGTATAATACATGCATATTGCACTCGTGCGAAGCCGGGGCGGGTCGCTAGTAAAAAAATAAAACAGCAAAAATATTCAACAATCATTATATTTGTTTCTAAACATAGATTCTACAGTGAAATATAACGGTAAAGCCTTAACTACTTATATATTAAATTATTAATATACCACCGATTTATATATTGACTTTTCATTATATAAAGTACTACTGAATAGTTTAAACGCGCTCAACTCAGGAACGACTGGTCCGATTTGAATAATTCTTTTTGTGTCGGATAGCCCATTTATCGAGGAAGACTGTGAGCTATAAATCATCACGCAACTATTAATAGGAGCCGAGCAGATGTAGCTTCGCTAGCAGAGATGAAAATGCAATTTTGTAAGTTATTTGCTGTCCTAGTAAAAATTATTGATATTTTTTTATACAAGACATCGGTGGTATAACAATAATTTCAGCTTACATAATTCAAATTGCAAAGACAAGCTTATTTTTTACGTATCAGTGTTTACCAAAATTAGTCGCTAGATGGCGCTCTCGTTTTATCAAGTTTAAGGTGATTTTTGAGCCAGAAATCTTCTTTTTCTTCTTGAAATAGCTCTGAATATCATGTTGGGTATAAAACCGTGATTTTTTAAACATACTAACATACATGTTGTATCGGAAACTCCTTGGTTACGTATCCTTTCGACTAACTATAAAAAAACGTACATACATACATATTTTTTTTTGTATTTTTAAGCACCATTATCCACATCGATAAAGACTACATATAAATGCTTAATTAAGCCAAGTCCAGAACATTTTAGGCCGATGAAAGTAAGTGCATAATAAGACAAGATTGTAAAAAAATCAACTTTGTTTAGCGATAACTACAATAGGGTAGTTTCCAGGGTAAGTAAAGTAAAAATCTAATTAGTCCGTCAGTTAGATAATGAAAAAATATTAGACACGTATTTTTTATTTTCTCGTATAAAGTTACAATACTTAAATAAAATGGCGTTAAGTTTAGGAGTGGGAGGTAGTTACGTCATAGCGTGGTATATTTTGTAGCACGCTGTGACGTCACGTGACATTTCAAATCAATATATCGACAAAAGCATTTAATTTTGTGACAAAATAAAAAATACGTGTCTAATGTTTTAAAATAATCTACCAGACGGACATTAAAATAAAATTTAGGTAACTACCCTATTGATTTTAGAGCGATCAGATGTTCTTTCATATTTTCTATATTGAAATATGACACGAATATAAATGAAGAATTGTATTTTTTATCAAAACTTGGCTTTGAATTGACAACACTAAGAGAATACTCAAACATTAACAATAGTAGTCTACACTACATGAGTCACTGTTTACATGTCACCATTAGCTCATGACGATACCTAAGTACGTATCGCCTGGACAGTCCACGCTACCATCAGTTGACTGGACAATCTCTACACTACATGAGTCACTGTTTACATGTCACCATTAGCTCATGACGATACTAAACATGTACGTCACTCCTTGTTACATTTTTAAATTGTTTGAGTATTCCTATACATATAATAACATTCAAATTCGTTATTTTTACTTCTAATATAGCACAACACACAATAATGGGACAATAAGTGTGGAATATATAGGATTCAGAGGTATAACTTTATACAGAATAGTTTGTAAAAAATTGAATCTTAAAGCAATTTATATTAATAAGAGATAGGCCTTTTATCCTCAGACGCCTTTTATCTTTATATATATAATTCTGCTGTAGGTGTGTATGTCATTGAACTCCTCCTAAACGGCTTGACCGAATTAGATCAATTTTTCTGTACGTGTTTGAGTGGCGCCCTGGATGGTTTAGATTCACAAATCAGCCCGGCAGATGGCACTGCAGTCGGTGTCTAGGTTATTTATCCTAAACGGCTGAACTAATTTGAATGATTTTTTGTTTATACAATACATTCAAGTGGATATGCAGGACAACGTCTCCTATTAACCTCTTATCTGCCGGCATATGAAACAATAGAAAACACATTGTGTCTTGCGTTTATCCACGCTCCCGGCATACCATGGGTTAAGTCTCTGACTTCAAATCGCTACTGTTGGCCAGCGGTGACCCTCACGGGTCGAACGTGTTAAGAATTTAAAACATATTTGCCAGCGTATATTAATATAATACCCCATTTACTACTGCAGCGCCACCGTGAGGGGATTGGGAACTATCATTATTAGTGGTTAAACACATTTTTCTGTTAAACCTCAATATCTAAGTGTTGCTTGCTCTTTAACACTTATTAAGAGAGAAAGGGACAAATATACATAGACAAATATACACAGTTCCGCCGTCGCGCTGTTTGAGGTAACATCTCGTTCGTTCGCCTCCGCAGTTTACTTGTTTTAAAAGTGGTTAAAAGTCAGTGATAACGCTCTTAACTTATCAACTTGTGTAACGCATACCGTACTCTGTTGAACTTAAGTGTTTTGACTTTAATTTACGCACTATTAGTGAAGTTATAAGCAAATTAGTTTTAAAATTGTTTGTAACCGCCATAAGACAGACGCCTACGCGAGCTGCTTGCGCCGCTCGCTGTTGCTGTCCCTTTCGCACAGATGCTCGCTCGCTCTCGCACCGCTCGCTGCTGCTGTCCCTCTCGCACGGATACTCGCTCGTTCTCGCACAACTGCTAGCGAGCAACATTTTATAAACATTCCGCTTGCTGTTATCGCCTACTGATAAACGCTTATTCCTTCCTTGCTTGCAAATTGATCTGCTTACACCAAATATGCATTGCTCTGCATGCTATAATGTTATTATTAATGATGACGAGGGAGTTCTCCGTTGCTCACGTGAGAACTGTGGTAAACTATATCACCCAATGTGCACAGGCATTAGAAACTTAATGAATGTTGATATTGATACGTGGATCTGCCCAGAGTGTCGTTGCGCTATAAAAAAAGGTGGAGACAATTCTTTTACACCGGTGGGCGTAAAACAAGATCCTAACGTAACACTTCGGAAGAATGTCTCAACTAACTCCACGAGTAACTATGTTGACAACATTGCATTAATATCGGAGATACATGATCTACGCTCGGAGATGTCTACTCTTAAAGAATTGCTCACAAAGGCATTGACCTTAATCGGCGGCCACGAAGATAAGTTAGAAAGGTATGCTTTGCAAGTAAAACAATTAAATAACAAGCTTGAAAAGTATGAGAAGCAAGATATCCAGACTACGCCTCTGCGAGCTGTGCACGAACCTCGCGCGAATTCGCTGAGCAACACGGATGTAGCTATCAAACCAACTGCAGTAAAACAGCAGCCTAAACAACAGGTGATAGGAAATTCTCAAAGCTACCACCAGGCTTCCCGACATCTCCATACTGATCACATAATACCACCAACTCAAGAACTGCATCAGTCCGTTATTGCTGTCGTTAGTCAAGAACACAATACTCAAAATGACGGGGAATGGATTGAGGTAAAAAAGCGCAACTATAGGCAACGTCAAAAACCATTACATGGAACTGCTGATCCTCTGTCAATCAATTTAA